TAAACAAGAAAGAAAAACAAAGCTTTTAAGGTATATGCGATTGGTAATGTATTCTGAATGTTTCTTTTCCCATTTCCTATCAGTTTTTTAAAAAGACAATTCACAGACCGCTTTAAGACTCTTGGGAAAAGGAGCATCTGGTTTCTTGTTGAGTCCACATAATGAACTGGGCTTGCTAGCAAAACATATAATAAAAGTCTTAGAGGGTTAATACCACAGATTCAACCTAGAATCAAGTTTCCTCCCTGCCGTTCCAAGGAATCCTCTTCTTCCCATATTTCTGCATTAGTGGACAAGGATAAGCAACAACTGCTACCTCCAAGATCTCCAAATCCACCTTTCCAAAGGCACAAAATATTTCCAGGTGTTAAAAAAACACACACACACACACATGAAAACATGATGGTATAGCTCATTACAGTATCTTGTATAATTAAAGCATTGAAAGCATCAGCCTGTTTTATTTTGTGACAAGTTTATTGAACAGTATCCAAGACTTCATCTTTATGAACAAAAACCCCTGCTGAATGATGCCAAGGCCATATTTGTTGGCAAGTTTTGGCCATAGTGGCAATGAGTCATTTTATTGTGTTTGGTTTCTGAAGTATGAACCACTATAAAACTGTCAGTGAAACTATTTAAGTGTAGAAGTTTGAGCAAGAGTGGTAATTTTAAAAGTGATCACTGCCAGAAATTATTTCCAAAAGATTTAACAATTTTCATATTTTCTTTACTTGCTTTTTAAATGTTCCTGAAACTAAAGAGCGGATTTATTTTTAAATGTTGACCCACACTTGTGCACAATGACAGAATTCAATAAAAGGACTCTGAGTTTGATTAAGGATTTCATGTATCCTTATTTTTATCCAAGGTATTTCCATCCAGAATGTATGTGCTTACTTCCATACACAGCACTAGATTTTTATCCAGTGGCTTAAAACTGACATGATTACGCTAAATATTACTCTCTGAAGTTTTAAAGAAAAAGTTTCCCAGGGGAAATATAAATCAATTTCACTATCATTGCATTGCTTTGGTAACTGAGCACAAAGCTAGAAACTACATTCCACTAAATAGTGTTGCACTTTTTAAAAAGTCGCTAATAATTGCATATCCAAACTATAGTGTATATCCAAAACACACCTTCAAATTTTGCTTGTGAACTAAATGTTTCACTAAAGTTCAGAAAAATTTACAAATTTGTTTACTTATAATTTTGTAGATTTCTCTAATCCTTTAAACTATTTAAAACCATCACCACCAGACACACACACACCCACATGCATGCACACACCATCAGCTTAGGGGAAGGGGGGGAGGGGCGATGTAGAAAAAATATTAAACCTAATGGAAAAGATTCTCTTCCATTAATGTCAGTCACCAAAACAGACAATAAAATTTACACATTAAATTATAAATATGACGTTTACAAATGCACACAACTTTGAGCAAAGCTTTACAAATCCTTCATATCATACAAAGCAAATAAGAAAATGCAAATTACCACCCAAAACCTAGTCCATATAAGAAAATGTGCAAAAAAGAGGTATGAATAGTTTCATAAAACATATTTTCAAGTATTTTTTAAAACTCAAACTCCAATGCCCAGCACAAGATGAATAGTATGCTTAGAAGTTACCAATGTAATATGTAATGTCTCAGATACACAAAAATCAAGGTCCAAAGGGCAAAACATTTAATTACATTTCACAACAAAAGCACTGCTGTGATTCAACCAAATATGGAACAGTTCTCTCTAATTTCTAAACAACCACTATTTTCTTAATTTATTTAATTTGATGAACAAAATCAAGTTTTCCTTTTCAGTATTTATCTGAGATGTAGAAATAACAAAATGGTTGCAATAAAGGATGTGAAATATTTAATAAGAATGTATGAACATATAACCAAAATAAATTGTGAAAAAAGATAAAAGACTTTCATCTTCAACCGATTTTTTAAAATAAAAATTGTCAGCTTTCCAGTGGGGAAAATAATCTGCAGTTGAAATCAAACTTCTATAAACAGTGCTGAAGTTTTTTGCACTCTGTCCTTGGAATGAGAAATGATTACTTAATAGAAAACTTAAGTTGAACAGCATATACAAACATCATATTGCTTTTTTTTTTTTAATAGAGGAGGCAATATCTAGTTATCTGTCAAAGCAAATTTGTATTTATGAATTATCAAGATCCACAACACAGCCATGTCTTTTTTAAAAGTCTAACCAATCCTTTCCCTAAACAAAAAACCTGTACTATCAATCTTCTAAGATTATAGTAATGATAGGCTTTCCAAAACTTAACACACAAAAATAAAATTGTTGCCACTATTATACGGCGCGCGTGTATTTTAGTGTTCCACTGACTTGCAACACAAAAAAGCACTCGACAACCCCCCCCAACCCCCCCACCCCCGCTCCGAAATACTTCTTTTAAAAGGCTGACCCCTTTGTAAGAACATTGATTTGTTAGGAAATGTTGAGGCTGTTTTAAATCAACACAGAGGCCCATGTAAAAGACAATATTTGTTTTTCATAATATCTCCCCAATCCCCCATTCCAATCATGTTTATTAGATGGCAGTTCTTTAAAATATTTTCGCTAAGAAGGAAAGTAACCATAAATAGAGCCTTTGTCGCAGTGAGCAAGACATTGTAAGGCAAATGTTTTTCATGACAAGGACACTTATATCGACAGAACCCATGTGATCATCCTGCTTTGGTATCCTGAATGCCAAAGAAAATAATATGAAAGGGCAAGGAGTCTCAATTCTCTTCCCTCTGGCAGCTATATTTATACTCTGTATGGAGAATTTTTGTAAACAGGCTCCTGATCATACTACTAGACCAAAAGCCTCCAAAAGTAATAGGAGTAAATGCATATGAATCTACACACCAGCTTATATATTTTTTAATTCTACAACACTATTGCTAACAAAGCTAACGATTTCAACTTCAATTTTAAAAATCTAGATACAATAATTTTCTTTCTTATAAATGGACTGTTTAGTTATAGGCCAAAATTTAATAAATTTGGGACAGAAAGAAATTGGCAGAACATTAGTCCATCACAGACTTGACTTCAAATCAGGAATCTTAAACAATTATTATAAAAGCAGTTTCTAGTTTTTGAAGCCATCCAAGCATCATGAATAATTTTTAAACTGACTGAACTAAAAGTTGGCAGTCAAACCAAAAAGGCTCTGGTAGGTGGAGAACTCCGTATTTTATTTTTGTGGCAAAGTCTTATTCCACAGTTTTAAGTATGACATCAGAAACCAAAATTCAAGGTTATAGCACAAACCAAGTGTGGAGTTTATATTAAAAATATATATATAACAAAACAGTTCTGCTCATTTACAAATGAGTGGGTTAGGCAAACAAAGCAGCAACTTCAGAAGCAGGACTGTCTATACAGTAAGAACCCTCAAAAAGCAATAAAGGTACATACAGTGAATCTGTATACAGAGATTTTATTTAATTTTAAAAGAAAATAGACTTTAGACAAAGCTTTGATCCTATAACAAAGCAAATCTGTCCAGCTTTAAACCAAATTCCAAGAGTAACCAACATCTATTTTTCAGCAGCTGGCACAAGCACCCTTAATGAGCTCTATTGACAATTCTATTTTCTTCATCCCATATGGTACAAAACAAAACCAATCTAGACTCCTTGATAAGCTTTATGTCGTCATTTGAGTTTTACAAATCGTTTCTCTAATGGTATGCCAAAATCATTTTTGTGTTCTTTCCAGACAGTTTTACTATAACATACAGCAATATTATCCTGGTTGTGAGTCTTCTGTAAACAGTCAACCAATGCTCTATGTTATGAAAACCAATCTATATGCAATAAAAACAATCCACAGGTTCTAACCTGGAAATACTAGGAAAACAATCTGGATGCATTAATCACAACACTATGAATATCTAACCTACAAAGAATTGATTTGAACAGCTAACCTAATACAAGTTTTACTTTCCTTGAGCCTATAGGCCTGTCATTCAAATCAATGACAGCAGCTGTGGCTTCATCCCGAGATTCAAAGGCCACCATGGCTTCTCCCGTGGGCATACCCTTCTCATTATATTTTAAACAAACTGAACCTGGGATCACTTGATAGCCATAAAAGAAATCTAAAATCTCATCAATAGACACAGTAAAGGGCATGTTCTGCACTTTAATTACTGTAGGTCCTGGTTTTCCAGAACTAGATCCAAAGCCAGGGGGACCACCAATATGGATTGGACCAGGCCCAGGCCCGGGCCCTGGCCCAGGCCCAAAAGCTGGTGGCCCACTCAAATGGCCAGGGGCATTTCCAAGACCCGGAGGGCCATTTCCAAAGCCTGGGGGACCACCTAAGCTACCAGGGCCATTTCCAAAATGCTGAGGACCCCCTCCAAATCCTGGCCCACTTAAATTATTTGGTCCACCTCCAAAACCTGGAACATCCAGTCCCAGACCAGGCAAACCACTATTTCCAACTGACGGCATACCAGGCCTAATATCACCAAAGGCTCCTCCTAATCCTGGAGGAGGCAGTGGTGGGCCAAAAGCATTTGGTCCACCAAAATTACCAGGAAAATTAAATGGAGGCCCATTACTGGCCTCCTTAGGTCCTACAGTCAAGAAGGCATGCTCTTCACCTCCTGCATTAGGCATCCCTGCATTGGGCATCCCCGGATTGGGCATCCCCGGATTGGGTATTCCCACAGTGGGCATTCCAGCACTAGGCATGCCGGCACTGGGCATTCCTGCACTGGGCATTCCTGCACTGGGCATTCCAACACTGGGCATTCCGGCATTGGGCATTCCGGCACTAGGCACTCCAGCACCGGGAATTCCTGGAACTGCAGGATTACCTGGCACAGGCATCTTTAACCCCTTTTTGCCTTGGGCAGGAGGATTTTTCTCAATCTCTCTCATATCTTCTAGAGTAACTACATGAACAAAAGCTTCTCGCCCATTAAGTTTTTTACGGTGCAAGCGTTCAGACTTACGTGCATCATCTTCATTTTTAAACTGAACCACTGCCTGTCCTAGACCTTGCCCATTGCTATCAACAAGAACATGGACAGCATTTTCATCCACTGGGATTCCTTCTAGGAACTGAAGAACATCCATCTTGGTAATGCTGAATGGAATATTTGTTATGTGAGCACAGACTTTGGTAGAGCTGACATCCCCCTCCGGATTTAACATCATTTCTCTCTGGTCATAACTGAAGTTCTGTAGTCTTTTTCTAATCATATCTATCTTTTCTAGCATACCTTTCTTAGTAATTGGATGAACCTGAATAAAGCGATTGCCCATGTATTGTTTATGACGACAGAGAGCAGCCTTATAGTCAGCCTCATTCCTGAACTCCACAAAGCCTTCACCAGTTGCTTTCCCATTGGGTCCATAAGCAATATAAATACTATCTTCCACAATATCCAACTTTTTAAAAAAATCAATGACATGTTTGTTTTCAGCTTCAAATGGTAGCCCTTTCAAGTAAACACAAAAACCAGCCTCATGTGGTGATCTTGACCTTGATCTTTTCTGCCCACTGGGCGATTTTGACCTGGGAAGTGTCTGAGGAGGAGGATGGGTTTGTCCAGAGGGTCCTATACTTTGCTTAAAAGTGATATGGCCTCCAGCAGCTACCCACTGTCTCTCTGTTGCAGGACTAACTTCCACATAACGTTGTATCATCAGCATCCTGTTTCGTTTCAAGGCTTCAAATGTATCTTGAGGGGAGAGAAACTTAACCAATCCATTCCCATTATTTCGACCTACATGATCTTTCAACAAATGCACTGCATCAACACGAAGCCCATGAAAAAAATCTCTGACATCATTTTCCATTGCAGAAAAGGGCATTCCATGCACACTGACATACAGATCATCAGGGTTGATGGGAAGTGGTTTCACACTGCTTTGAGAATTCATCTGGATAGGGTTAACAGGATTCAGTGGACCCAGAAACACGGGGTTCAGGTTATTGTTCAGATTCATAGGTGCTCCAGAGCCATTCATTCCAGCAGGCAGAGGTGCCACAGGTGGTGGGTTCAAGGGCGGCATGCCCGACATGGGTGGCAGTGGAGTCAGGGGTGGCACAGAAGGAACTGGGGGAATTGGGGGCACTGGAGGCACAGGAGGCAATGTAGGTACTGGAGGAGGAACTGGTATTGGGGGAATGGATGGCATTGGTGGCAAAGATGGCATCGCTGGGATTGGAGGAATTGGTGGTGGTGGGACTGTGTTCATTGACGAGGCTGTGCTCGAAATGGTTGAGCTAAACGTTGGGCTCCCAAATGAAGTCCCCATATTTGGAGGAGCCGTTCCTATGCTGGCTGTGGAAAATGTCTGTATATTTTTGTTGCTTTCATGAACAGAAGTGGTGGCAGTAACTACACTGGGTGAAGGGTTATTAAAGTTGGGTACTGTTGTAGGCAAGTTAACCCTGCCACTCATTCCTGAGCTAGGTGGTGGTCCTGACCTACTAACATTTGCTGGTGGTATATCTAAGTTGGCAGTTTCAAAGCGCCTACGACTCAGTTCAATCATATTCTGCATTTCCGTTTTACTACTCAACAACAGTGTTACTTTTGACCCTTTAATTGTACCACCTGTGCGCATCATACCAAGCCTTGCATCTTCATCAGTGGCAAAAACGATGAAAGCCTCACCCAGTTCACCCCCTACAATATGCACGCCCCCATCAGGAATGGTCAATCCAGAGAAGAAGTGGCGAATGTCCATGGTCCCCGCCACAATTGGGAGACCTTGCAAACGGATGACCACAGCCATGCTGCGCTGAAACCACACACACCTGCAGATGAGAAAAGGCAACGGCCAGGTCAGACTCCTGTTTATCACACCAAGTTTTTAGCTACAAGAATGACCAGCTACCACATTAGGCCCTCAAATAATCCCTCAAACTATCACAAGCAATATCGTTTTTTTTTAAATTTGAATATTCTAAAAACTGAGCTTCATGTACCATTTACAATGTAAAACCTAGACAATTTCAACTTCCAAAAGGAATTCTGGAAACAATTAGAAGTTCAGCCCCAAGACTCAAAATTTCAGGGGAAAAAAAACGAACAACCACAGGACAGTAAATCACCAATTACATCATTCAGACCATGATTAAATAAGACTTAAGATTTAAAAGAAATGTGTACATCAAATCAGGAAACAAATTCAATAATCTATAGGGGGAAAATATCCAAAGGATCCATCAAAGTTAATATTTAAAACTGGCTTAGAATCTTCCTTATAAACCTGACAACTTTACAGAATTATCTTTGTCCTTTTATGTAGCTCAATCTAAAATCCAACAAAAAGAGAAACTAATTAATTAAAAATAATATTCAACATAGTTTCAAATCTCAAATGAGAAGACTCCATTTTTTTAGCCCTACAACTTTTCAATCTTCCTTGCAGCTTAATTATTAAAGATTACATATAAAAGTATTTATTACAAACAAAGCTAATAAATGCTAAGAATCCTTAAGAAATACTGAATAAAATAGCCAAAATCTTAGTTACCTATATTCACTTCAAAAAGTAGAATTTGGTTACAGTACCATTCATTATGGCTATTTTAATTAAAATTCAGATCCAATAACTCATTCCCAAACCTTCCATTAAAAAAAATATTTTAAAATGTTTTGTTTTTCTCATAAGAGCTGATAATGGAAAAGAGGTAATTTTTTGTTTTAGAACAACTAGAGTATGAACTTTAGTCAGTGATTGCTTAGTCTCTGGCCCAACATAACTCCTGTGAAATTTCTGGGTTCTCACTGATCTCCTTAGATAATGTCTAATAAAACAAAGTTTGATCTAATTCTTATCCTGTCAGGTATGGCTCAATTGGTTGGGCATTGACCCATACACCAAAAGGTTGCCCATTTGATTCCCAGTCAGGGCACATGCCAGGTTTCGGGGATATTTCCCCTCTCACACATTGATGTTTCTCTATCGCTTCTCTAAAAATCAATTTAAAATATTTTTTTTCAAAAACTTTCTCCTAGCCCTGACTGGTTTGGCTCAATGGATAGAGCGTCAGCCTGCGAACAAGGGTCTTGAGTTCGATTCCAGTCAAGGGTATGTACCTTGGTTGTGGGCACATCCCCAGTGGGAGGTATTCAGGAGGCAGCTGATAGATGTTTCTCTTTCATCAATGTTTTTAACTCTATCCTTCTCTCTTCCTTTCCATAAAAAAACAATAAAAGGTTAAAAAAAAAAATACCAAAACTTTCTCCTAGATTCAAGTAAAATTTCAGTTTTTATGGCTTATATGAATAAATGCCAATGGCAGGTCTTTGTAAAGCGACACACAATCAATTATTGGCACTGGAAAAATATTAATTTCAACTTTATGTCCTCAACAACATAGGATGTTGCCCAAGCCATCTTAAAAATCAACCTTTAAAAAGAAACCCCCCCAGCCCAGATCTTGGTTGGAAGTGTGTAGGAGGCAACCAGTAGATATGTGTTTCTCTCACATCAATGTTTCTGTCTTTCCCTCTCTCTAAAAATATCAATGGAAAAATATCCTCGGGTGAGGATAAACAAGAAGAAATATATATATATATATGTGAACCTATTAAACAGGTTCTATGACCTCAGGGAAATCATAAAATATTTGAACTTTAGTTTTGTCTTCTCAAATGAGAGCATTAGAAGAGCAAAGTTTCCTGTTGCAAACTCTAAAAACTCGACAACTCGCCCCAGCTGGTTTGGCTCAGCGGAGTAAACCATTGGCCTGTGGACTGAAGGGTCCTGAATTCGATTCCAGTCAAGGGCACATGCCCAGGTTGCAGATTTCATCCCCAGTGTGGGGCATGCAGTGCAGGAGGCAACCAATCAATGATTCTCTCTCATCATTGATGTTTCTCTCTCTCTCTCTCTCTCTCTCTCTCTCTCTCTCTCTCTCTCTCTCTCTCTCTCTCTCTCTCCTCTCCCTTCTTCACTGAAATCAATAAAAATATATTTAAAAAAAACTCCACAACTCTATGAAAGCAGTTTTTCAATGTTAAATATTATATGAATAGTAACTCACTGCAAAAAAAAAAATCTGTAATTATAGCTCAATATTATGACTGCTATACAGAAAGGAGAAACATTATTTGGCTCTGACAGTTTTTACACACACACATACGTAAGCACACACACACCACCTTCAAATTTAATCCTGAAAGGTGGACTAGCAAACAGAAAATCCTCTTGTGAGACCATTATAAAACACCAGAAACTGGTGGATGGAGTTTTTATAACTGGTCTGTAAGAGTTGACAAGATATATACTAAAAAACAATCACACCAAGAGACACTTTTTCTCCTTATTTACTATTTAGCTGTCTCTATCAAGAAGTTCATTAAGAAGCATCCAAGTCATTACATTCCTGACTCTACAATATTGGCTATATGCAAGCAAAACTGAGACAGCATTCCTGTTCAACTTCAAAAAAATGCTTAATCATTTAATCACTATCAACGGAGAAAGCATCATCAGTATTCTATGTATCCAAAACAATTTGAGCGAGAGGTGTTAGTTTGCATTGGGACAATAAAATGGGCACTTGATATGGTCCCAAGAACATAAGAATTGAACACAGGGTTAAAGTAACATACACAGAATGTCTTCAAACCATTTGCTACTAAGTCAAGGGATTTAGTTAAACTCTGTACAAGGTACACATGAAAACATGATATTCAACATCTATCCCGATTATCAGCTAGAAAAGGGCTGAGGACTAAATCAAAGTAGAGCACAAGATTTTTTCATAAAGCCACATAGAAAACATTTTTAGGTCTAAAAATATGAAATAAGATGTGCTATTCTGCTACTAAGTACCTATTTGACAGATATACTAATATCATTTCAAACTATCTGGAGCCTACCCTGGTTATTTAATAAGAGGGTTAGATTCCAATTACTGAGGTTCCATTGAAGTAAAAATTTGTATTCTAAAACATATGATCCATTACCTATACCTATACTTCTAAGAAATATTTTAAAA